TTAATCAGAACGGAAATCCCATCGTGCATCTGAAGTATTTTTGCTGCATCTTTAGCAGTTGAAATGGTCAAGTTACAAACTACTTATTTTGTTTCTGTGTAGTTACAATCGACCTGAGGAGGCAAGTCGGAAATAGGTGTTTGTAACCAGTTATTTGTGATTGTTGTCTACCGAACCCTACCTAGTTTTTCAACACAAGAATAGGTGGAATGTATCTCTGGAGTTTACAGAGTGACCATCGGATTGGGAGAGGCGACAGTAAGCTGAAAGTTTATTGAAGCGCTTGTACGTAAAGACGGAGTAACAGAGACCAAGTCAAGGGAATGGCCTCTTGCACAATATTTCGCGATGGGGATTGTAATAAGTGACTCGTAGTGTCAATACAATCGGCTGTAGTGTCCAGAAAGCGGGACGCGACAGAAACACTTCCGGAGTTAGGGTAGAGAGTAGCGGTGCGGAGGTAGAAATCTGAGCGTACTTTAGGCCATTCTTGTTGCACTCGGTAACAAAGGCGTGACGGCAAGTTCAATCCCTATCGGATTTGTTGTGAGTACTTAATTGTCATTAAGGTCCTAGATGGAACAATCCCATTGTCAAGTGGGCTGCAACAAGTGCGAAGAAGTTGTTTACTACTCACACAATAAGGAAAGTGCTAAGAGAAGTGAGCTGTAGTGCTGGCTGTTTTTATGTAGTAGATACAGTGGATAAAAATCGGCCCGCCTAATGGAGTTCTAAACAACACTGATTTCACAATAGCACTATTGAACACACTAACAGTAAGCTACAAGTGTCGGGCACCTTCACCTACAAAATTAGAGCACTGCAGTAAAAATGAACCAACTGTAATTTACTGCATAGACAGCAGTATTGCCACAAAACTTTCTGGTAAACCTGGGTGGCTTCCAAATCAGGACAGCCTTTCAAAGACTAAGGACATTGTAGGGGTGACAAGGTAATTGATTAGGTTTTTAAATATGCCGATGGGGAATGGAATAAATCGGAGTGAGTTAATAATATTCACCACTTTGGTCTTGTGGCTACTCTGCCGTAAGTACAACATGTTTGTTTTATCAATGTGGTCGCAATAGTCCATGCGTCAGATCTGTCGAAACAAAGTCTTTTAGGGTTGTGTCGGGAATCTACCAGCTGATAACATGACATAATGGTAGAATCAATCTGATCGGGTAGTTTACTTTATAAGCTAACCTTTGAGATAGTCAAGTCAAGCCAAAAATTGTTTTTTACACCATTGACAAAGGAATATCCAGCTGCGAACACATGTGATTTCAGAAACGTACCAGAATATAAGCAATAACAGAAAAGTACCATAAGTTGGTTTGATTTATACAAATAAAAATCAAAATCCTAATAACGATGGTAAAGATGTTAATGGTAATAATAATAATGATGATAATAATAGCAATAATGTGTCAGTTGTAAGCCGTAACGGCGCTTCGCTGCCACCAACAGTCGCACGCGGGCTGTATACCGCGAGAACGCCCACTCCTAAGCGAATTCGAACCCGCGCTGCAAGTTTACGAGACAAGCTCGTTACCTCTAGGCTACGAGCCGACAGGTTTGATAAAGGACGGACGAAAACACCGTTATATTGTGAATCCGCTGTGTAGGTCAAGAACGACAGTTTAGCTCTCGCAGAAAACGCGAACGACAAGGGATAATCGACGACCGGTTGGCTTGTGTGCAAGCATAAATCAGCTTGTACTCCTAATTTTCGGATTTTGGAGCACCCGCAGTGTGTCTTGGATTGCGACACGCAATCTTAACCGTGGCTTCGGTTGATTTCGACGTCAGCCTCTGTCAATACGACCACTGCGACCGTTACCGAACTGGAAAGTTTCGGTGTTGCTCTTTCCCCTCCCTGCTTGTACTTCTGTCTAGTAGACGAAGTTGGCAGACATTCAGCTAAAGCTTTATGAAGCGGATAATTACAACATGCCGTTATCTTAGATGCCACTTGATTACACGAATTGGTGTGTGTAGAAAGAAATGTGTCGAACAAATAGACATCGGAATGCAGCTACATCGGGATAAGTGCCGTAAAGACTTGTCAAGTAACTTGAAATGCTTATCTGGAAGACCGGAGAAGATCATAGGGGGCAGTACCTTCAGCGTGGAAGAACACACACTGATAAAACGAAGGAGCAACACAATAAGGATAGAGGAAGCTCTTAGACAATAATCTTAGAAAGACAACCTTCGGACTTTTGTAAAAGTTTTACTTACTAAAGTGTGCTAGATAAATCACATTTCGTCACCAAACCTAGATACTTCATTGAGGTAGAAAAGTGTAATCCAGCGCCGTCAATAAACAGCCTGGAGCACTGTGTAAGCAGCTGCACGTACCTACTCATTTGTGTAGCGGAAAAAGCATATCATGACACTTTGATGCAGTAAGGGGCAGATAACGAGCTTCAGACCAGATATTTTGGTCGTTCAGATGATCTTTAGCCTGAGTGAGAAATCGGCAGGTCGCTGATTGATGCCCAAAAAAATGTCGCCAGGAAATGTTAGTAAGGTAGCTTCTGCGGATCTCTTATTAAGCTGATGTGAGTAGAAAAATGAAAAGGCGACAGAATCGCTCTTTGAAAATCACCGGAGTTGGTGCTTAGTGGAGAGGAGCATCTGCCACTGAGTCGGGTAATCTGAGTGCGTCCAGCGCAATAAGCACTAGGCAAATAGTCAATGAAAGGATGTATTCTTTAAATGAATAAATATTTCGGTAGCGATTCACGGTTTACACAGTCGTATGCATTGCGATATTCAAGGAAGCACATACAAGTTGACTTATTTCTGTTGTCAAGTGAGGACTGTACAGAATGTACGAGGCCACTCCATCTAGAGTAGTCCTTGAAATATGATAAACTAACTGAAGGGATCTATGGAGCGAGTTTAGTACAGCAATATTACAAGAATGATTATCTCCAAAGCCTTTAGGGCAATAGAAGTGCAAGCTACAGGTCGATACCTTTGGATCCCTTTTCGACCCTGGTGTGATACTAATACTTCTTCAGCAGCCTGCGATTTTGTGTTTCTGCATACACATTGTGTATAAAGACTCAAGAGGCGTTGCCAAAATATCGACACATTGTTCCGATAAGATGGAAGATAACGTATCCGGACCGCTGATTTTACCGGGACGTAGACGTTTTAGTAAATTTATCACAATTGCACTGTCGTTGGGAGGCAAGGAGTTCTCGTACGTCGGAACTTTGGAACAGGAAGGCTCTGGGGCTATAGTAATATCGCAGTTACAGTACTCCATGTTCAGTTCCCCAACCTTCGCATTGAAAAAGAGCGCACGTCGAGCAACCCCAATAACCTGTTTTAGCATCCTCCACAATTCGCGACAGCCGTTGTTTCCAAGCATAGACTGGATATACACTCGGTTAAGTCAGCCTAGCTCCTCCTTGATACGAACAATTAAGGGCCTTACAGTGGTGACGACTTTTCGCAATGCTTTCTCCTTTAGTCCATGCATGCGTTTCAGATGGACGGAGGATAATCTGTCAGTGCGGACGTAAAGTTTCCCAAGGATATCAAATGTCAAAAGCGAATTTAAGGTAACTGAGCAAATTGCCGCAATACTTAGGTACGTGAGGGTAAAAGAATAAACTGAATTTTGCAGATCCAAGCATACCAAGAATTTGTTCGATATTTTGTTTGTAGCATCGCCTGTACCCGAACTTCGATCACTGCAGCAGGTGATATCCTAGTGATTTGTTTTGCTGTATATAACGTGTGAACTTTTGATTGTTGAATGCTTGGAACTGCCAACCGAAGCCCGATTGCATACAGAGAACCACTCTATATAATTAATGAACACAAGGTTCATGGTTGCGTCTAATTTGGTAGCTGTATTTACGACATTCCTCAATCCCAGACTGGTTAGGAAAGTGACATTAAATGTGTTGAAATCTCCTGTGAAGATACGCAAAGAAGGGTCGATGTTTTTTATGACGACTGCCGCAAATTCATCGTATAAAATCTTTGCTTCAAGTTTGTATCACATGGGAGATGTATAGATGTTAGCCAACAATAATGAATGCCAGCCACTCAAACACCTCGGCTTGCATTGTAGGAATAAGCAGTTCATAAATTGTGAAGAGAAACAACTGTTGCGCTTTCTTTTAATACACCAAGATGAATTAGTTTTAATAAGGACGCCACTACCACTGTTTCTATAGGAGCATGCGCGGTCAACACCATGGCAAAGGAATTCTTCACCCGATACGACAACAATATCCACTTCTTCGTAGTATCAATCTTTCTGCAACATAATAATACCGACCAGCGAAAAGTCTTTGGAAAAGACTACACGAGATCCTTCATCTAATTTTCCAACGGCCGAACGGATGTTGGCGCTAAACAATGCAGGTACGCGCAGATCACCGTTTTTTATTTTAAAGAGCGACTGTTCATTCAGCACGTTTTTCATACAGCATTGTTACAAACCTCAAATTCTTTGCAACGTGTTTTCTATAACATGGCTGTAGGAAAATGCACAATTCACATGCGTACATAAACAGCGATTTCAACATATTGCGCAAGTAGGTTAACATCGTAGACGTGTGATGACTAAAAACAAGATGGTTTTCAATTAAAGATAACAATTGTGAAGTTGTGTGCTGAAAAATACCACAGATAGGAAGCATAGACCAAGACCAACTTTGAAGGCTTCTAAAGTTCAGCTCTCTAGCTACCCTAACTTAACCGTACGAGAACAAATTTAGACACGGTTTAATTTTAAGCAAACCAATTGTGGCTAAACGATATTTTATGTTTTTCTAGAGGTTCTTCTGTGTCTCACATAGCAGAAAGTTACACTAGGAAAGCAGCCGATTTCTTAATTAATTGCCGCCATTTCGCTGGAGTGTTGAGTTGCACAAATAGTTATATAAAATTTCAAAAGCCATCATGTTACTCCATTCGAAGCTTGAATTGCTTTACTCGTCGTTATTATGATAACATAAGAAACGTACCTTGCTTAATTGCTCCGGATGTGAGGACGCTATTCCGTGAGGTAATAGATGCGTGGGCATCTCAGTGACTGAGTCAGATACTGCAAGTTTGTTACCAGTTGCTTCTGTTGGGTGTGTAGTCTCGCCTTGCATTTTGCCATGAGAACTAGAATCCGACACCGAGTTGCTCTCACTGTTTCGTTCTGTTGTGGAACTTCGTTGGGAGTCGGTAAGTGGACCGGTCACCTCCTCCGACAAAGGTGGTTCACCTGGATGAGTGCATGGCATCCCTCCATCGACTTCCTTAGATTCCAGAAATGTTGAGCATATATACTCGGAGATTTGTTTCGCATTTCGGCCACCTTCAGTGAAATGACTGAGCTCTTTATTGAGCATTTTGCGGAACTGTGCAGTGCATACAAAAAGAGATATAAGCGAAATAATGTGCCTTCTCCAAATCACTAAATCATTAAAAAAGTAACAAAAACTGTTTATTTTCGACAATGTGGAACATACCTATCAAGGCATGATCAGGTCTATTGTCAATTTACGCAGGTAAAGGTAAGTGCTGTGACCTTATTAAGTCATTAGAGGTAAAAGACTCACACCGAATTGTGGATCACTAAGGAAAAGTGAAGACGCGTAAATATCCATTGCTCGGATTCATAAATGATACCGATGCGGAGCATCGGCAGTTGCTTCATGTCTAATCTAGTTACGTATATATCAGTCAACAACTGACGTCATTGTATTCACTTTGCGAATTGAAATAATACAACAGCCAAGATTTTGGTAAAAAGCTTCATACTTTTCCAAAATTATACCCTACTTCATGTCTGCTCCACCTACCTTGCTCGTTGCCATGTCGCTAACGGATCGATGAGTTTGGATATTTTCCAACCGCTCTAAGCACCATTCCAACTCGTCCAGGGTCTCAGTGGCTGTCAATCTGGACTGTTCACACGAGCCTGGGGAGAGCAAGTGATTCGATACATATGAGCAGTTATTCAAGCATTTACTATGGCAAAATACTGATAGAAACTCAGGAAAAGAATGCCGGTCTTAATGAATTGTTACGCGGACGCATTACAGGTAGGCTAATGAAAGTGCCTTTAATAAACCTGTCAGTAAGCAAATGTACAAATGCTTTGTTACCAAGATGATGGAAAATAAATAAATGATAAAAGTCGTGAAAAATCTAGTTGTGCGGTTGTGCGGTGTCGTCCATAATGGAACTCATGTAACCCGACAGGCGACACGATTTGATTATTACTGGCTTTTCTGTTTGCGTTCTTAGACCCTTGAACTTCTAAGGCATAAACCTGATGAGTTCAGTGTGTTCCAGACGGTATTTCACGGGAAGTTTCGTCATTATTTCGCTCCCATCTACCACTACTCGGCTTACCTGAAATTAAACTCTTTGTTTCCAGTATCCTATTAGGCAAATCGATTTAAGCATTGTGTGTAAAATAACTGCTATGTCGCTGTGTCTGTCACACTCGGGACTTTCAACAGCCACGTCGCATTTCTGCTAGGTTTGCTGAACAAGCGAACACGACATCACTGGAAATGAGTTTGCAGAGCACAGATGATTCGCCGAAAAGAATTAATGGCAGAAATAGTAGTAGTATTGTCAGCAGTTTATCAAATAGACAGAGCCAAACCTAACCATAGAATTCACCAAAAGAAGACAGGCTGAGCACCGTATCATCATCATGGCACATTAACTGAAGGTGAGCAACAAACATCAGCAATTGTGCCGCAATATAAAAAACAACTGAGAAGTTTGCTTTATTGCACACGCTATATTTTACTTTTTATCTATTTTAATCATTAATCATTAAGTATTCAAAACTAAGTAGTTATATACACGGATCCTCCACTGGTTTCCATTAAGAGCCACATCCTGAATTGTTTCCAAACTTCGGCACTCCTCGACCTTTGGTCCCCAACCAGGCAGACAAGTGCATCCAGTAATAGCAAGAATTGAAGTCAACGATTACATTTGCTGTCGCCAGTTGAGCCACCACCAGTTCTCTTCCAGTTAAGTCCTGCATGAACAAACCGAACAAGATAGGGCAAACGCTCATCTGATATACGCAGGACATGACCAAATCTTCTTAACTGGCGCAGCAAAACCAGATTGTTGAAGGGAATACTCACATTCCTTCAGACACGAGGTCTGACTTCACTGTTGTAAATGTGTTGTTGCCACCACACATGAGCAATCCTCCTCAAGCACCTATTTCCGAAGGCCGAGACCCGCTTGTCGTCTATGCGAACTGGCCATGACCTGCTTCCCTATAGCAACGCCGCACGAAGAGTGGTGTAGTAAACACGACCCTTTACCAGGAGGGAGATATCTCGACGACGCCACAACTGATGCAGCTTGACAAACGCCGACAGAGCTTTGGCAATCCGAAGAGAAACAAAGGTAAACAAATGCATCCACTTGTTCAAGCTGTGTACCTTCAATATTGAGCACAGGAATAGTTGACTGACAAGCCTGAAGCAGCACATTGCAATTTGACTAGGCAAAACACATTCAGTACGTAGATGCTTTAATCGCCAAATGATCTAGAATGATGTGCATGCCCTGTTAGTCCTCAGCAAGTAAGGCGATATCATCAGCATGGTATACGTCGGTCGTTAGCTCGCCCTGTAATAGGTGTGAAACCAAAATTTGGATATGCGTCTAGAGCTCTAGACAGGAGGTCTTTAATCGAAAATTTGAAGAGGAACGAGGACATAGGGCAGCCTTGTCGTACACCGCTAATTACTGCGAAGGACGACTAAAGCCTGCCATACACCCTCATTCTGCAGAGATGTTGAAATACTGTGAGCGTAGGATGGCAGTGTACTTTCCTGGGACACCGTTCCTTAGCAAACAACACCATAGTGCATGTAAATCAACGGAGTCGAGTGCGGCACGGATGGTAAAGTTTGTGTCGTTCCAGAATTTGACAGAGTATGAATATCTGATCCACACACCCGAGGCCAGGTCAGAAGCCAGCTTGTTCTTCCCGGTACTGTGATTCGCGAATGGGAGATAGTCTATGGAGTAGAATGGATGCCATTAGCTTGGAGGTAACCGAAATCAGCCTAATCCCCAGGTGATTGGTATACGAAGTGCAAGCGCAATTTTTAAAATCCAGGACAATCACTGACTCGCCCCAGGAAGAAGGCACCTTCTCTTCATGCCAGGTATTGGAGAACAAGAACGGTAGATTGCTAATGATAACGAGGCCTTCATATTTGAAAAGCTCCGGAGGAAGTCTCTCTGGGCCGGCAGCCTTGAATCTTGTTAGGTGTCGAAATCCAAAACAAATTTCCGCTTCGCTGGGTGGATCAAGTGTGATGACCCAGGGCGGGCAGCTGGGTTTGCAGGGGATATAATTGGACGGTGAGGGCTAATTGAACTGGGAAGGAAAACATGCGGCCCATCGGTTCAAGCTCCTCTGTAAGATTACAATCGGTGAACCATCAGCTTCGCATATAGTCTCACTGACACCAGGCTTTCTGTGGTCAGTGGATCAAATGAGGTGGAAGAGTTTGCGTGTATTGCTAGAGAGGGCAGCGACCACAATTTCCGTAGCGCGCTGGGACCACCATGCTTCACAGTCAATGCGTAGGGTTTGTTTGAGCCGCTGACTGACAGACCGGCACACTTTATCATGATTAGACCGCTGGAATACTACTGTGGCAGTCAAATAATTCCAAAGAGAATGTGGAGAACCAGGCCTTCGTATTTTACGGAGTAAGACCACAGAGTTGCTGTCCGGAAAAGAGCATGGTCCTCTGTATGCACGTCCAGTTTTCATCAATATCGTGCGGTAAGTCGCAGAAGAGTGCATCAGTAAAGGAAGCATGATAGTTCTGCTTAACCGAAACTATAGCTTATTTGTGTCTGGCTTACAAAGCTTCATTTTCGGGAACCCTCAAAAACACATGCAGAGGTTCACACAGACAAGAGTATAGTCTGAGTCAAGAAATGTTGAACAGATGGGTCTGCAACCCTTTACACTACCCCTCCATCTGAAACTGATTGCCATATGATTCATCTGAGACCGAGACACAGAAGGGGGCAGCAAAGTAGAGTAACGTCCCTACGAATGTCGAAAGCTGGTGATCGAGTGAAAAAGTTGATTATCATATGTGCAGTGTGAGAAGTATCTTTCCATTATCTGAGCGGCTCGCATCGAGCGCATGCTTAACACCGACGTGACTTTTGCATGACAATAGACGAACGACCTGTGCGTTGAGATCCCCAGCAAGGAAAAATTGCCGGTTTGGTAGGCGCTGCTCAAGAGCAGATGAAGTTCACGTTAGATATCGTCCTTGACGGAGTCACAACTGCAGTCAGTTGGAGCGTAGGCTGAGATTACCAACAAGTTGCGTCTCTCCTCGCGCTATCTTTTTCTCTTGCATGATTCCCGAAGCCGAACTGCTTACCGTCGGCTATTAATCGGAAACCAGTCTATCAGTGTGGCCTCGGCTTGGCTACTTAGCGCTACACCAACGCCAGCCAAGTCTGCCGCAGCTGCTTCTGCGTCACCAGATCATCATCATCATCATCATCAGCAGCAGCAGCAGCAGCATCATCGTCATCATCAGCATCATCAACAAAGTACATCAGCCATTTGAACTGATGCTCCGCTGCCATACAACCACGAGGACCTGTGAAACAAAGAATAATAAGAGGGAGAAGGGGGACTTACCTGAAAGCCTTAATGCTCTAAGCAAACATTCAGTCTCAAGGCGCCTAGCCCTTGAGTAGACAACGTACCGTCACAAACAGCTGGCTATCGTGCAAAGATAAGGCGTCATCGGCGAGACAGCTTCCTTGCGGCATTCAATGCCACGCGTCACAATCAGCCATTAAGCAGCAGAAAACTCAGCACCAAACACACTTTAAACAGGCAATCCCATTAGGCGACGGTAGCAGATGCTCTTTTCTTATAATTCATATTGTTTTCCCATTCAGCCATGATTCCGATAGCACATTATATGCATCACAGGTTGTGTATTATATATATATATATATATATATATATATATATATATATATATATATAGCAGATGCGTCTTTGGTGCCGGTTGCGAGCCATGTCCTGTAAAGTCTCGAGCCAAGCACAAAGCGAGTCACGTGGACGCCAGCCCGGAAGGCGAGACGGATCAACAGCACCCAATTTTGTTGTCAGTGACTTCATTTCCCGCTGCCAAGTCAACTTCTGTCCACCGCGAGCATTGCGCCACCCTACACCTGGCAGACTAAACAAAACCCTCCTAGGTAATCATTGAACAGGCATAAGTAGAGCGTGCCCGAGCCAATGCAACTTATTCAGTGCTATCTGTTGTTCTAGGGAGCTAGCATGATTATCACTACCTAGTACTCGCCTACGAACATCATCGTTGCGGACACGCTGGTGCCATCCGACACCAGCAATGCTTTGTGGACAATGCTGATCAAAGACTTGAAGGCGTCTCAGATCTTCAGAAGAAAGGGGCCAATTCTCACTCCCATTGATTAAAACGGCCCTCACTGTTGCCTTGTATATATGGCCTTTCAGACGAAGGGAAACTCCTTTCTGTCGCCAAAGATGCCGCAGGTTCATGAAGGCAGCTCTGGCCTTTGCAATGCGTGAGCTGACGTCAGTTTCTATGCGCCCATCGTTAATGATAAAGCTGCCAAGTTGAGCGAATTGATCAATCACCTCGAGTTCCTCGTTAGCAAGCGTCAAGGGGTCATCAAATGGCTGGTGATACTGCAGCAACACTTTGCATTTTGAAGGTGAAAAGCGCATACCAAATAATAAGACCACTCTGGACAGTCTATTCATGGTTGATTTGGCCCTCGCAACGTGATCGAAAAGCAAGACGATATCGTCTTATAATCTAGGTCAACTAACCTTTCACCAGGTTGCACTTCAAAGCTGACATCGTGAGATTCTGCAACGGAACACTCCAT